TGCGACCAAAACTTGTATATGCTGGTGAACTTAATTATATTGCCGGATCAATTTTACCACATTCAGAAACAACTATTGAAACACTCGAAGATATATATCCTAAAATTGATTATATTTTAAAGAAAAATGCAATTGCTACCCAAGTTCGTAGTATTGTATTAAAGGTTAGTAATTATCGTAATTAATATATTTTTTTAATAAAATTAAATTAATTATATTTTTTTTATTTAGATTCCTATTGAAAAAATTCTGCCAATAATGATAGCAATGCTTCCTACGAAGGGTAATAAAGGTGCTGAGCAAATTGCACACTTAATACGTCAAGTAATTGAAATGTCACATATAGCAAATTTGAATATTTTAAGTTTTGGTGCTGATGGTGCCAGATCTGAGTTTAATGCACAGTCAATCATTATAAATGAAGCATCAAACTTTCTTAAATATGAGGATTCCTTTTATAAAATTTATTTTAAAGCACCAATATATAATGGAAAACCATTTATTCGAATTCAAGACCCAAAGCATGCCAAAAAAACAGCCAGAAATCAAATATTTTCTGGAGCAAAACTTTTATCACTTGGAATTAGCACTGCACGTTATGATCAACTTTTTAAATTAGCATATCAATCACAGCATTTTTTTTTGAAACGTGATGTACTTAATGTTGATAAGCAAGATGATGGAGCAGCATTACGTACTTTTCATTCAAATAATTTAAAACAAATTCTAGTTAATAATATTTTACCTGATGAATCAGTTGGGCTTTTTGTATATCTATTTGTATTAGGTAATTATAAGTAGAAGTTTTAATTCTTTTAAATAATTTATTAATATTTTTTTATTCTTTAGGAGAATTGTGTGATGCTTATTTGAATAGAACAGTTGATCACAAAATATGTATTGAAATGGCATTACGTGCTTACTTTTTTTTAATTATGTGGAAAAATTATATTGAACGCTGTATCAATCAATATTCATCAAAATGGTATAATTTACAAAAAAATTTTATTTCACTTCAAAGTTATGATATTTTTATTAGTATGGTAGAATCTTTAGTAATGCTTGTTATAGCACATCGTGAATATTATCCACAATTTCCTTTATTACCATGGGAACATGGAACTGAAGCATTAGAGCATATATTTGGAATTTCATGAAAAATACTTCCTGATTTTAATTTTTATGAGTTTTTTAAAATCCAACAAAGAGTATCATTTCGTGATAAAATTTCACGTGCAGGAATAATTGATACTAGCAGAGAACGAAATTCTGCAGCAGGTATTTAATACTGTAGAACCTCTCTAACTTGATATATATAATAAATAGTTTTATATTAGTTTCAAGAGATTATCAAATTTGAAAACATTATAAGCTATTAAATTATATAGCAGAAACAAACATAATAGATCAATTTTTTATTAGATTTGATGAGTTATTGATTTTGATAGAATCAGTTTTAAGAGGTTTAACAGTAATTTTTTTTTGTAAATTAATTTTTAAATGATATTTTTAGGTTATATTTTTGATATCGATTGTGTATCACTTCCACATAAAATAATTGAAAAACTTCGCACATGGCCTACTATCGAAGACTTACAAGAATGTACTAGAATCACATTTAATGAAGCTGTATTATTAGCAAAACATCTTCATATATATAATTATGAAGAAGAATCTTCAATTCCAGAATTTACCAAATGTATAGAACAAATAGCTGATATTGCAGATAGTGAAAATGATGAATTAAATGGTATATAAATATAATTTGTTTATGTTATAGACATATTATATATTATAATTAATAATTTAATTGTTATATAGAATTTATTGACACTTTCAATAATGAAACTAGCTCAAGCCGTTCAATTATAGTTAGAAATGCAGCCTTAGAAGTAGCACGTATATTACCAAGCTCATCAGATAATGATCAATTTCATGAAGACGAAACTTTAAATGAAGATGAAATTTTTAATAATGAAATTTCTGATGAAGATGAAGATATGATACAACAATTATCATCATTTAACAAATTTTTTGAGATTCAATATATTGTTCAGCATTCTCCTATTCCTGTATCTTTTTATCCATTTCAACAATTTTTTATAAATGGCATTTTAGATGTTAAAATTCTTTTACAAATTTGCCAAAATCATGATGCATTTTCACCCAACATGAAGTCTAACTTTAGTCATTTACATCAAATTACAATAGACAAAAATAATGATAAGATTAATGAAAATGTTGTTAATAAACTTATTACTAAGATAATATCGGACAATATTGATGAAAATCAAAGAAAAAAACGTCGAGATCGGTAGGAAGGAAGAAAAAGATTAGAGGCATTATCTAAAAATAAAAATAGTAATTTTTTTATCTTAAATTGCAATTATAAAAATATATATAATTTATTAATATTTTATTTAAATTTTTTAGTAAAAAATCTTGGTCCAGCAAATATCTCTGATCTTAATCCTTTGTGTGAAAATAGCTTTTTAATCGTCTATTCTAATAGAATTTTATGTTTGGGAAAAGTTATCACAATGTATGAAAAATGTGGTGAACGACATGCATGGGTTGAAAAACTAGCAGGTTTTTTAGATAATTTATCATATATTTCTATCAAAGTTTATATGCAAGTAACAAATCGTGTTTTTTCATGTGAAAATTTAGTAGGAGGAAATATTACAATTCATATTACTCCACGTAAAGTAATTTATTTTTTGGGCATATGTTTATATACTAATTTAGATAACAATTTGATTTCAGTTGATGATGAAACTATTTCGATTTATAATTTTTTTAAATTGCCTTCTTTACATGAATTGTTTTTAAAGGTTTTTGAATAGTTTTATAAGATATTTGATAGGATACACAATATATTTTAAACAAACATTATAATTATATTAATAAAACTTTTAATACTAATAAATTTATTAAAAGCTTAGCATAAATTAAAAAATTCACGAATTTTAATATATAACTATTAAATAATGCCAAACATTAAAATTAGAATAATATAGAGCTAATATGTTTATGAACAACAAATCTGTTTTCAATAATTTTGCTTTAAATAAGTATATATTTAATTAAGTTCAAAATTATTAAACCAAATCGAAGAATAATTTAGCCATTCTTAGAATATAAAAAATTTGACGTATAAGTTTACATATTGTTTCTCTAATTTTTTTTATTGCTATATCTATTTTTATGTTATGTAATAAATTATTGTATATAAACAGGTTTAAAATCGATGTTTGAGATATGTACAAACTTTATTAATTTTGAATTACATATTCTTAAGGTGCTTGACCAATAGTGATTCGCATTATTAGTAGTTTCTTAAAGGTGCCTGTAAAACTAATTCGCTTAATTATAAAAAAGGCCTGATTCGCAAAACATATAAATAGATTTTTTTAGGGCGGGACCTATTATAGAGTTTTTCCGGTCCTGTACAGACCCATTGACACAGACCCGTTGGTACAGACCCATTGGCACAAACACAGACCTGTTGGCACAAAATATTATTTGTTCTTATATAGAGTTCTAAAAGATATAAAAACTCTGTTTTTTTGCCCAAGCCAGGATAGGTTCTGCTAGGTCCTAACTTGTATTTTTTTAACCTTTTCCCTATTAAATAAATAATATACCTTATCTACGGCAATTGCTAATCCCGAAAGGGTGTTAGGGTAGGGCGGGTTACAAAAGAAGAAGCCAGAAGGTTTATATGGGTAACCTCCTAGTTGGGTTATAGGTACGGCAACTAGTGTGGAACCTAGGGCAGACTACTTAAATAG